ATTTTATGAGTTATAATGTAGTCTACAAATAAAATGTGTAAATGTATTACGCCTCGGAAGGGTTGAAACCTTTCCAAACTATCATATATATTATTAAAACGTAAATGGGGTTTTTTCACATTCTGAATCAACCAGTCGACGGATTTTCATTATTTTTGTGTTGAAAGAAAGATAATTTTGAGAACTAGGGAATGTCAAAGCCATAATTATAATTAAGGGTCCCAGTTTTTTAGAAATTAAGTTTTAATTTTTAAAAAGTCTAGCAGCCGACGCTTACCTTCTAAGCTAGCTTTTAGTACAATATAATTTGCTTAACATAACAGCTGTAAACATTCATCATTTGTGACACAAATTCAGCATTTGGAAACAAATTTAAAGACATATTTAGAGTTGACATATTTATACTATGTGTAATGCTGACCATTGATACATTCAATTCTTAGGTATGAGGATGGCAAATTAATTAAATATGCATAGTACAATTGTAGGATGTTCAAATTATTTTTTAAAGGAATCTTTGTAATCATTGATTTGTTTTAGTCCCATAAAATTTGTTTTAACTAACAGCTGGTTGAATGTAATGTTGTTCTATATAGGCCCCTAACTATTAGGTTTTTGGCGAATTTCCCATATAGGGAATAAGCTATTACCGTAGTACTTATGGTAACACCTGGACCCGCGGGACCGATTTAATTTTTCGTTTTGAGGTCCCTAGAGGCCAAAAACACCATACGTTCAAATTCATACATACAGGGTGATCAACTCAAGGAGGCCACCATTGGGAAATCGGAAACGGTAAGAATTAGAGAAAACTTTAAATGGGGCACATTCCTTAATTTTTTGTGGCAGTTAAAAATATGATTTTAGTTTTTTTTTATCATTTTTTTGGATAGAATATGCAATTTAAAAACTTTTTTAGCCTTGACATTTTTTTGATAAACCCACTGTTTAGGAGTAAAGCCTATGGAAAAATGACTTCCGGTGTACATTTTACATCATGTAGCTCCTAAACGAGTAAGTTTAGAGCAAAATTTGAAACAGTAAATTAGTCTTAGAATTGCATCTACATTCCTTAAAGACTATAAAATAAAATGTTTTCCACTTTTCAAGTTTGCCGCCAGTTTTTAAATAATATAATTCATATTTTTAATTAATTTTATGGCCTTTTTGAAATGTGGCTGCAATTGTAAGACTTTTTTACTCTTCCCATTTTTGCTATAAACTTACTTGTTTAGGAGCTACATGATGTAAAATGTACACCGGAAGTCATTTTTCCATAGGCTGTAACTCCTAAACGAGTGGGTTTATCGAAAAAATTTCAAGTATAAAAAAGTTTTTAAATTGCCTATTCTATCCGAAAACATGATCAAATATAGGGTGTTCTATAAGAAATTTCAAATTTGGTCGCCATTTTGGAAACTGGCGGCTGAATAAAAAGGAAAACTAAAATCATATTTTTAACTGCCACAAAAATAAAGGAATGTCCCCCATTATAAGTTTTCTCAAATTCTTACCGTTTCTGATATCCCAATGGTGGCCTCCTTGAGTTGATCACCCTGTATAGCCTATATTTATTTATTTGTATATTTTTCCCGGGGGGAACCCCAGCACCCCCTCCTTTTTAGGCCCCCGGTGACCCCCCCCCCCAAATATATGTCTAGGACCGCCCTTGTCTTCTTTACCTATAAAACACATGGGATACACCCTTTCTTCACTGATCACGTAATGCGTGATTTTCTATAAAGTCTTGGAAAAATAAAAGATAAAATAGATAGAATGCAGGTGTACTGTATGTGGTTTACACACAAATATTCATCAAACTGTGTGATATTTTGTTATTGCAATGAACAATTTGGGAGCATCGTATTGTTTAAGTCGATGGAAAATCTCTGTTGATCCTGTTTTACAAGCAAACCAAAAAGATACAGTAGTCACCACTCTATGCGACATATTCTAACCAGAAAATTGTAATCGTATGATTCTATAAGCATTGGTAGGATTGCAAAGTACTACACAAACATTATTTCAAGGGTAATAACAGTTACAATTTCCGCTGACTTTAAAAGTGTCAACTAAAAAATTATACTAATGGACACACAACTAAATGGAACAACTAATGGAAATACTCACGATGTACATATAACAGTTCGATATAAGCATTGAGTATACACGTCAGTAGATACATGTATACCCAATGATATAAGCAACGGTTCTTGCAATTTATTGCTTATTGTTTTTTAGAGTTGTTTTCGGACTTACTCTGTTTTCGGACTTATTCTGTTTTCGGACTTACTCACACTCGTATAAGGTTGTCCACGTTTGTCATTGATAATGTAGCCATGTTACACCCGTTGTCACGAATATGTTTACAAGTTTTCCGTCTGTTTTTGAATAGCGATACATTTTTTCACATACTTAAGAACCACCTGATTTCGTGCGTTACATGTTCGTCTCAATTTTATTTGCTTTAGTAGGCATTCTTTTGGTTGATGAGGACTTCAATAGGTCCTTTCAATGATTGCTCATGAGATATAGTACTTTGTCCATTAATTTTTATTGTTTGATAAAATGGATTAAATTATCCAGCAAGCCCAAATCAAAATAGTAAATATAGTATTTCGAACAAATCAGTAACATGTTAATAATGTAGCCTACATTATTTCCTTGAATTGCATAACATCAATTAATTGAGCTGATCCTAATATAAATAAATCAATATGTTCTTTATAGGCATAACATGGGTTCTTTAAGAGCCACTGGGGCTGAGCCCAAGGGATTTAAAAATGTAAGGTTGATTTGCAAACGTACGTGACACGCTCTTTCTAATGAGACATGAATGGTCAAAATCGCCTGAGAAATGCGGATGAGTTCAACGGAAAAATTTCGTGTTGGCGTTATACAGTATGGTTTAAAAGTCCTGGATTGGCTATATTTTTTTAACAATATAGATAAAGTAGTGAGACTTGGTATATCAATAATAGCCATAAATATCTACTGTCTTAAGCTATTATCACTTTTTTATCCCTAAGAGGGATGGGCCACAAAGACCAAGACAAAATTCTTATATAATTTTAATACTATTTTACCTGTTTTTGAAATGGCGACCATACAAATGTATGCATTTTAAGCCCAGTATGAATGGAGATGAGTGTGTGATGAGTGGAGCGATCTTGTTGTCCTGTTAGTGACTAAGGCCGACATAATCCTTAGACACAGCTGTTAATTAATAGTCCATACAGTCAATTAATAGCAGCAGAGGTCAAGTTTGGTATCAAATTAAAGGTTTTATTCATAAAAATACATTGCCGCAAACCCAAACTCAAACGATGATGATGATAATAACATTAATGATGTCGCTAAAACGTATCGTTTGAAATTTAACAGCTGAAAATAAGTGAAATAGAAAAGGTTTTGGTTAAATCCGTCAAATTGTAATTGGACACTAGTAAGTACTAGTGCACTTGTTGCTACCTCCCCCCTTCGGTTTCATGTATTCCTCTCAATCAGTTCAAACCTAGGAGGATTAAACATTAATGTTAATCGTTATTTACCATCGTCTTTTTTTATATATTTTTCAAAAAGAAAGATTATATTGATTGAATTTGGATTTTAAAAATGTTAACGTTTTATTTTGTTAAAGATTTATGGTGATACGTAAATATTGTGGTGTAGTAAAGTATATTATATTGTAGTTAAGTGTTAAATTTTGAAATTTTAGGGTGAATTGAGATGAATATTTTTTTATAACATGGGTCTCTCCTACCTTAAACATACATACCAAGTTTCATAAACATTGGTTGGAAAAGTGCAAAGATAAATATTTGTATGTAAAAAATACAAAATGGTGGATATTTGGTTAACGAAACGATTTTGGAAAAAATGTTATCCTTGATTTTCTGTTTATTTTGACCCAAGGAATTACTAGGTAAAGTATCTCCCCGCTTATTTTTAACACCCTGTTTATGATGTATTCTTATAAGTGAAATATGTAAGCTGGTAATACAGAAAGATGTTTTATAAATAATACGAATGTACCGGTGATCTGTATATTCATCTTTTTCTTGTCCTTAGAACTGTAAATTAAAAGTCCACTCAGCTGTCGCATCGTACGATGTAGTTCTTTTCGTGCGTTGCGAAATGCTAAATTTGCCGTCCTCTTCAACCCAAGTTATCTATTGAACCACTGATTGTAATAAATAAAAAAAAAAAATATTTTACGCATCACACTTTTGGCTACAACTTTGCCACAGACAAAACCTCTCTAACCCAAAAACAAAAAAAATCTCGCATGCTAGCTTTTTCATGTTAGAAATCACGATTTAAAACTATTTCACCATACATATCAATTTTTATTAATTAGATCGGTAAATAGTTTAAAGTTCCAACAAAATAGTCATCGAGTAGGACTAACCAAGAAGCTCTGTGCCAATTTTCAAAATTTTAGCACAACTTTAAGTACACCAAAACACGAAATTATTGAAGTCATGCGTCGAGAGGACTATCGTAGTTTTTAACAGCTTATACTTTTGACCTTCCGGCACTGTTGACTCAGCGAAACTGAACTTATATTTTTATCTTATTTCGTTATATTAAAACTGCTGTTGCATTAGGTCAAATTCCCAATAATTCAATTGCTTTAACATAGACTACGTTTTTAGCACGGACTGTACTTTTTGACTTACTGGGATTTTTGATCTACAGACACTGCAAACATTGTAGTTTTTGACCTAGCGGCACAGGTATAAATTATTTGACCTTCCGGGACTGTTGACTTTCTGCAACGCGTCCGCTTCTTTCTAGACATATGAAAACGAAACGGAGTGGCAGGCTGTAAATTGGACTTTTACGATCCTGTTAATCAAACTCATTTAGGGTTGCACAAATTTAGTAGTGGTACGCTACTAGCTCACTGGGATATAGCTTGTTTCAGGAAACATGTTAACGGCCGTGAAAGTTAGTTATTAACGTTAGGAACACCTAGTAGTTGATGTATCACTCACGCTCCATGCCGCCGCTCTTGACCATCACGTCTCGCTGAAGCTCGTCTATTGTACACAGAAGCTTGTTGGACTCTGTCTCCCTTGCACTCAGTCGAGCCTCCAACTCCCGTGTCTCTTTGTTCACCTGGTTTTTCCTAAAACAATATTCACAATTTTACTAAAAACTATTAGGATTATACATATTTATCAAATGATGGTACAACGATACTTCAATTGTGAAGATCGGTTAATAAACAACTATTACAATTTTTGTGAGACCGATTTGAACCGACGTGACGCGGCGCGGCACAACAACTATTAAAAGAATTACAACATTTTAAAATTCATATACAGTACAAGGTCTCACAAAAATTAAATCATAGTTGTTTATTAACCGATTTGTACAATTATTTAATGGTAGTTTTCGAATAATCGTTTTGATGATGACAAGTTTAAGAACAACTTTTCTGACTTAAACTTTCGCCGTTTCAAATCGGTTCAATTTAGAAATTAATTGTATAGTTTGTGAAAAGATTGATGCTTTAAGTCAATACAAATCTACTAAGTTTGAACTCAATCACTTAGGGGATTCCAAAGTTATGGATTAATCTGTAATAATCACATACAGACAGAAAACCATACATATTAGACGTATTTTTACATGATTTTAAAAAGTGTTTTGAACAAATATACAAAATCTGTCGAAGGAGTTTGTATAAAATATAGTTAAAAGTGTTAAATTGTTATAAAATGTGAGAACAGGACAGGAGCCCATGATGCAGTGCCTACGGTTAGATGCTGACAGGCCAGATGCATAACAACCATCTTGCCAGTCACGACCTCTTGGAACACTATCAAACAGCAGACAACAATTGACACGAGACACGTACAAGGCTGGCAAACGGAACGCATCCGTCAAAGTCTTAAAATAAGAACAAGCAAGGATAACATAAAATATTACGTCTACATGGCGTCATCGTGAGGTGTTAGCCAGTACCGGGTCTAGGGAGAACCCTGGGCCCATCTCCCAGAATTAACAAAATAAAGTATCTACCGTAGCTGAAAACGAGTTAAACACTGTTTGAAGGTCAAATACTGATTTACATTTATGTGTTTATGTTTAACAAATTAATCGACAAAATATTGTAAAAAAATACTCTTTTTGAGAATTTGGTGGCTGAAGATTTGGCACTCTAGGCTATCAGTCCATATACAAAGTGGTGTCCGAAGTACTAATAGTCTAGTGATAGGTTAAGTAGATTGGAAAAGTATTCAAACGAATATTGTCAAAAATACAGTGGTTGAATATAAACGTATACACAGCATAATATGAGTAGGTGTGTGTATGAACATACTGCACTGATAAAATACCCCCACCCGCACCAAAGATATACGGGCAATAGTTGCGGATATGGGACGCTGTGGACACATTGAAGCGGGCAATTGCGGACACTAAGGTACCACTACCTGACAAGGGTTCGCTGGTACAGTATCTACAAATATTTCGAGCCCTAAACATTGCACATATATTTTATATCTACGACGGGGAAAAGGGTGAAAGGGAGGCCACTATTTTAAATTTGCATTTAATAACCGAGAAAGAAAAAAATAGTAAACTATTTAAAAACTGCAGTTTAAGGCCGATTTCCATCACACTTCTACCCAGGCGTTTGTTGTCATCGAGATAGTTATGAGATTCGACTAGTACCCCTAAGTTGAGTTTCTTAACATCATGTATTTAAAAAAAGCTTTTTAATTAATTTTACATTATTTTATAGGGTCGATTTAGGAGTAACAATTTTATTCTGTCATTATAGGACAAACTGTTTATCTTAAACAAATCTGGACACATTATGAGACTAACCCTGTTTATAATCACATATAACAAAAATATAATATTGTGTGTGTATACAGGGTGGTAATATACTATTAATACTAATGAAATAGTCAAATTTTAAGTTTCATTAGACCAATAATATTCATTATTTATCAAACCTCAGACCTGATAAGCAGCTCTTTTTCAGCATAATTTTGCCGGTGTTGTGTGAAATGACATGAGGCTCTTTAAGCCGAATTTTATTTAATAGTTTACTTACTTTTTATTAATTACTTACTTAATTACTACTTTTTATTTTACTTACTTTTTCGGTTATTGAATGCAAATTTGAAAATGCTGAAATCTCCCTACATTGGAATTGAACGTGTAACATATTATGAGCAAACCTATGTAGCGCTTAGGCCTAATGAGCTAGTAGAGTACCAATAACATACCTATGAGACATTTTTTTAGTTTGTATTGTTTATTTTTTAACACTCAAAAATGTAACGGGTTTTACGTGCCTGCAGCAGGGGGCATACACGTGTTCTAAGATGAGTTGTTATTGTTCAATCAAACATATTATTATAGAATGTCTTTATTCTACCCTACTGGGACGTCGTCCTGTAATCCAGGTCACAAATTGTGGATATTTATAGGCATGCATTTTGGATGCGATACTCCCTGGTGTGGATTAACGTCCGCACGGGTGAGTACTACGACTATCCGCAATACTATCCTAATAATTAGACCAATTCGTAATTACCAAGGCAAAATGTGGTTCGGATTCCACTATAAACTGTAGGTCCCTTGGTTGCCATTAGCTGTATGGGCTATTAATTAACAGCTGTGTCTAAGGAATATGTCGGCTATTAAATGCCTACTATGTGTGGTCGCCATTTCAAAGAAAAGTATTCAGTATTACTTCCGTGCAAAGATAGAATCGTACTAACTGCTATTCCTACCTTGTATATCAAGGAAACTATGCATTAGACAATTTCTAAAGAAGAATTTTGCATTTCAGTTCAATGAACAATAATGATCAAGAATTTGAACACGACATTTAGCCTAGGCGAAATGCCAGCAACACGGAGTCAGCCAAGTTTCACACGCATGCCATACTTACTTTGCTGAATGTTAACTATATACGGTAAAACCTCTCTAACTCGACACCCGGTAACTCGACAGTCAACAGCTAACATGGCGCACGCAAAAAACGTAATTTTGTCAGAAATTTATTTAGTTCTAATTGTTGAATATTCGACATTACTTTGAAGATTCTTTACTCTATGTAAAATGTTGTTGTAAGTACAGTAATATATTTACATGTAAAAATGTGTATATTGTTCTGTACAGTATTAATTTATTAAAACGCATTAAACATTTCAATGTTCTGGATAACTCGACAACCCCCCTGCTCGACAACCTCTGGTTCCACAAATTTTCGAGTTAGTGAGATTGCAAGTAAAACGCCATTACGGGGTTACGGTTGAACCATGGTGAGAAATACGGCCTGGACCGCAATACTTTTCCGTTTCAGGCCTCTAGTATGGTTTAAATAATTAACTTATGTATATGCATAACACGTCTGTAACAGGTTAAAATCGGTAGTCATATACGAGAGTGCAAAAACGTGAATTTCTCACTGTTGCTTGTTCACGAATAACTATTTCCATAATATAATCCCTAGACCCCAGTTTACTGTGGTTTTGTTGAATTTCTCAATTGATAAGTATATTTTGTCTAGCTTAGTCTTCAGGACAAAACGTCGATCCGAGGCTATTATCTATCTATTATTTTGACTTGTCCAACGTTTCTTGTATATAAAACTACACGATGTTTCTGGAGGTGGATCAAATACCCTCTATGTTTTCAAGTGCAATTACTATACTTCATTTATCTCAATTAGCCCTCATAAGATGGCCAGTCAAAAAACTGCTTATTGAAAACAACTGTTTACAACATATGATACATTATAATACAACGATAACAATACACTGGGTGTTCTTCAGATGGTAAACTATGCGTTTACATAGTCTCAAACTATATTCATATTCATTTGAGCAGATAACACCACCAAGTGGGCATTTTAACACAAATGAGTGAAGGATGAGTGTAGAATGAAGAGTGATGCTTGTGTAGCTTTGTTACTAAGATCAGCTAGTTAGTTTGCCAGGACCGTTTATTGAAAGCCCAATGATCTAGGACAGCTGAGACCAGTTTCCAACCTTAAAAATCTACACTCTTTTCTCAGGATCAAACCGACGACATATTGATTACCAGACAAGCACTTTAACTACTGAGCTGCCCAGCTAATGTAAACTGAAATAATTGACATTTCATGCCATCAATATCACCTATACAGTAGATTACGAGTGCACTGGTACCGTATCGCTGAGTTCTTTAGCAGGTGTGTTGTTATTTTTAAACGTAGTTATTCCAGTAATTGTATCTGATTAACATTAGACTTTTGTCGCAGATTATTACATTTTTAGCCAAAAATAAGAGAAGCAAAACTTGACCGGCTGACCAAGAGTCCCTCAGTCTAGTGTTCTGAGAAGATCTATTTTGAGAGGTTCTATTGGTAGTTGGCACCCACGACACTACTACTGCACATAGCCACCTTGTAGGCTTTATGTATACAATCACGATCTAATGTGCCCAAGTGCGCTTTTACACTTTGTATAACACGCACATAAATATTGTTTAATTCTCTATTGGCACGAAGGAGTGCGTTAACTGCAAGCAAATATGCAATAGTTACGTTACAAGGAAGTGGAGCCTATTGTTGTCAGGTATTTGACTCGGCGAGTGTGCCAAAGTCGTTATTCGTTCTAAATCTAATTCCACGAAAGCAAATTTAGTAATTTCATTGTAAAGATATTTTTATTCATAGGAAATCTTATATTTGGAAATGCAAGCGGTCAATGTACACTAGCCGGGAGAGAGAGGCTATAGGCTCCACTTCTATCATTTACACTACATCTCTCAGGATGAATGGTCGAGTACCCGAAAGATCAAATTGATGGGGAAATTATATTTCTATACCACATCTACTTTTACTAATTGTCTGGATATCCACTGGATATCCACTGGTTCGATTCCAAGCGAGATCATTTCTAGACCAAGATACCATTACGCTACCTAACAAAGATTTGACGTTGTAATATAGTGACTAGGCCAGGCTTTGGGGCCGCTCCCTTACGTACAAGTTTAAATGGTATGAAAACACAAGTGAACACAGGAAAGAGATAAAGAGAATAGAATCAAAGATTAGAACATGTGTCACATTCTTCTTTCTGTGGTATTATTTAAATAAAGCATGATACAATTAAGCTTTTATAGTTATACTTTTATACTACATGACACACTGTCCCCAGGTCAGTATTGGCTTAATCAAACTTAGAATCAATGATATACATAACAACCAGCTTAACTTTATTTATGTTTTTAATCGTTTCAAAGATCTGTGTCACTCATTTTACGGTACTGCATAGGTTACAAATAAATAATAATAAACATTCCTTGGGGTTTTGTTTCGTCCACGTTATTTACGATTTGATGGTGATGATTAATTCTAAGTTATAGCTTTGGCTATAGATAGAACTAGAAAATCTAGACATTCTAATAGGTTGTTAAAGTTGTCGCCAGCGTTTGAATAAAAATGGACTTCCTTTAATCGAGCCAGCAACAGAATGCGCTGATGTAAATAACTGATTTCTGTACAATACGGCAACTTTCTAACCAAGTCAAACTGATATGATGATTTACATTATTTGTAAGCTATGGTCTTTAATAACACACCAACCATCACAGTACTGGTAGCTAAAACAACTTTTTTTAGACTGTGGTGCATTCTCCGAGTGACTCGTTCTAACTATGGTCGTTTTGAATAAAAAAACAATCTACTACTGGTCCTTAAATATGGCATGTCTACTTCAGCGAAAAGTCAATAGTTATAGCATAGACTAACCAAGGGAGTTATCTATGGTTATAGTCACCTACAGTTATCATCTATCTATACTTATTTAATACGCAAGCAGGATTTTTGTGACAATTACTCCTCCGAAACTACTGAACCGATTGACATGTTTTTGGTCTCATTGGAAAGAGCGCAACGTGAAGTTGTGCAGGAAACTTTCTTTTTAGGGAAATAATTAGAAATTGAGGCCCTGGGGCCCTTTAGAGTTTTGTATGGGGCGATGTCTACTTGTACCTGCGTCTAGTTGTACCTGCTGCATTTTGGTGACAGGCGTCTAGTTGTACCCTGTCCAAAGCTGTAGGGACAACTTGACGATGGTGCGGACGTCTAGTTGTACATACGTCTAGTTGTCTCTACGTCTAGTTGTACCTCTTAAAAATCTACAGGTACAACTAGTCGGGAACGCCACCGTCTACTTGTACCTCATACGTCTGCGTCTACTTGTACCTACGACTACTTGTACCTACGACTACTTGTACCTACGACTACTTGTACCTACGACTACTTGTACCTACGACTAGTTGTACCTACGCCTACTTGTACCTACGTCTAGTTGTACCTGCGGCTAGTTGTATCTCCCCTTCAACTTGTCACCAGTTTAAGGGATTTATTTTATTTCTTTATAAATCATACAATCTTACAACAATTTATTATAAACAACTTGTTACAAAAGCCAGGAAAATTTGGCTTGTCCGCATCTCATTGAGAAACCCCTGTTCTTGATAACAACGTACCTGTGTCCCTTGGTCAGTCCTTATCCATATTACATCTATATTATCTTATATTACATCTTTGGTTTTCCTTATTTCTTGTCAAGATCTGCTATCGTTGTTTTTTCCACTTAAACTCTACCTTTCTATAGAAAACTAACATTTACTAGCTTAAACAACAACTTTAAACAATTATCTTAAATAAATAAATTCAGAGTTTACAAAAACAAGTAATTGAGTATAATAAAGTGTTTTTGTACGGTATTAGTCACGGAGAATATTACAACAAAAAATATTTGCCAATCATACTCAATCGACTCGGAACACTGCAGTTCCTGATTTAATTAAGGGTATTATTAAAAAGTACTCGTGCAGTAATCAATTAAACAGGGTAACGAATTGAAGGATAGATACAACTAGACTATAAGGACGCAAAATACGCGTAGGTACAACTAGACGTAGGGACTACTAGACGGAGGGACCATTAGTCGTAGGGACTACTAGTCGTAGGGACTACTAGTCGTAGGGACAACTGGTCGCATCCGTACAAGCTAGGTGATACTACTTGTCGGTGGGATACACGTCTAGTTGTACCTACGTCTACTTGTACCTACGTCTAGTTGTACCTCCTAAAAATCTGCAGGTACAACTAGTCGGGTGAGCCACCGTCTACTTGTACCTACGTCTAGTTGTACCTACGACTAGTTGTCCCTAGGCCTCGAGGTACAAGTAGACGTAGGTACAACTAGACGGAGGGACAACGAGACGCGGTCCCTTTTGTATTCCTCCATAAGATTAACATGGGAAACAAAAAGTGTTATGCAACTCCAGCTGTTGTCAGAAATTAAAAGTGAGAAGAAGAACACATGTTAATTGTAAACAGTCAATAAGTTTCCTAACTTAACCATTTACTACAAACATTTACTGATTTGGTTGAAATGAAATGTTTACTATTTGAATTTGGGTTGGCTAAATATTACAATGGAAAAAAGCGAGAGAGCCTGGATAAATAAATAAATAAATTGAAATAAAGATAACTGAATTAACACTGTGCTGCATTTCTTAGTAGTCATTGAAAGAACCGGTGTGCAAACTATGGAAACATAAACATAGGAAAGTCATAGAACACCACCAAGGAGAAGAAATAGAAATGTGTTTTGTTTAGAATTTATAATCGTTATTATGGGCAACATAATGCGGCTATAAGTAAGGCTATTTGTAGAAAACACTATAAAACAAGACCAGCTTTTGAAAAATGATAAGATATTTAAGAAATTTTTATCGATCTGTTATGTACCTACATAATGAGTATTTCCAAAATCTTTGAGTCGAATCTTTTAAAGTCATCAGAAATTATGACTGTTATTCGTTTTAAAATAACGCCTGTAATACTTAGCAATTGCTCGAATTCGAGCAACAGGGACACTAGTCTATATAAACACATTTACAGTTTGTAATCCCAAAACCAAAAAATGTGAAAAAGAGTCTGGATAAGTAGATACTATAGTCGTCACAATACTCACAGAAGATGAGATGAGGTGGTGTTGGTTGTTGGCTCGGACAACAATGAGATGGGACTCGGTCAAATGGAGCTCGGATAGGCTACGTACCGTAACGCAGTGTGGGTCAAGGCGACAGTGTAAATATACAGTCTGGCGGCGTGTTATGTTCCCATCTGGGTATAGAGGTTATGTTTATGGTTTATGTCGAGTAGGTCATTGGGAAACAACATTTATTATTTACAAATGCACTCCTTACTGCCTAACGTGTGTGAGAAACGAAACGCGTAAACATTGCAAAAGGACTATTCAAACGATTAACTATTCAACTAACTAGTCAATTAGGACTATCAATTGTAACCATTCAATAACTATTCAACTAACTATTCAATTATGACTATCAATTGCAACCATTCAATTAGGATAGAATTGAGCACATTAAATTAGCGTTGGAAGTTGTTAGTGTGAAAGCACATTTTGTTGTATTTATTTTCAGCGAAGCGTAAAACATGTTTGTAAAAAATTTGGTTTATTTTATAATTAGTTTGGAGAGTAGGAACCCCTACGGAAAAGGGAAAACTTTGATTTAGGAAATAGAACTACTTGTTCATATGGTAACAGGTATGTTTTGACCTTTATTAGTCTAAATATTAAATTGTGTTTGTGTAGGTATAGGTGCCAAAACTGTTCCAATGTCCCAAGATCTGTTCATTTTACTAATATGTGAGCTACTGCAGTTTAAAAACTGGGCCAAGAGAATACGGGCAATTAAAACCTTTTTTCGGGGAAGTTTCTGTACATATTTTCACTCAAACAATAGTAAACTTGTGAAAACCAATATGTGAACCTTATAAGATATTGCACATGGGAAGAATGGCTACTTCTTTGACCTCTTCTGTGTTAATATATGCGCCTTTTGTTACTGACATATTCATAAAATTAATTTCAACATAATCTAATCAAGCAACGGAAGATTCTGCGGGTTTTGGTGTCAGAATCGTATTTTGTTACAATTTATGACTGGATACATTATACTTTCGCTATAATCTTTTTCATTTTACCTTCTATAATGGATAAAATTGGAGTGTAAAAACGTAAAATATAATCTACATAAATTAATAATGTATAAAGTCGCATGTCTTGTTGATGAACCCCTCTTATTCTTCTTATCATAATTCAATGTTTGGGGTGTGTCTTTGAGCTACCTTGTTGAAAATGTAGGTACAAAACGGTATGAGCTTGAATGAGTTCGCAAGATCGGGTTATGGGAACAAGAGCTGTTTTGTGGGTTTTTATTTTCAAACGATTGTTTTTTATGTAACCCTTAAAACGTGGAAATTCCCCATTTATATTACATCAGTACGGTAAAGTTTAAAATATAAAAAAAATTGAATATTGAAGCGTTTTGTACAATAATTAAAGGTTACGTTGAAAACTGTAAATTTAAAATTTCCATGTTATTTTTAAGGAGAATCCGTATAGACGAGAAGATCAGTAAGATGACTAGACATGCATAAGAAAGCCACACTCACACCACAGCAATGATGCACTTACTTGATTATTTCGTCCGGATATTCGTCCTCGATGGTCGGCTGTGTGACATTGCCGCTGTCGTCATCCTCGTCCTCATCCTCATCCTCGGACTCCTCTTCCTCCTCGGATTGATCTGCCTCTTCCTCACTCGTCTCCTCCTCCGCTATGTCGTATAACTCTCCAGGTCCATGACTCATCTCCTCACACATGTCAGCCGATCTCCTCAGCTCACTCTCCCCAGGTACCGGCACACTGTCTGTAGACTCTAGGACTATATCAACAGGTTCTGATGGAGGTGACGCCGCCTCTTCTTCTTTGTTGTCACCAAGTGCACTAGAGAGGCCCAACTCCTCCACCGGAGGGTTTCCCGCGGGACTTGAGTCTACAGACCTGACACTTTCCTGTGGTTGGCTATGGTCGTCTATCACAAGTTCGTCAGACACAACAGTCAGATGCTTCGCTAACACGGGGGTGTTGGGCGCGGTTTTGAACACTACGTCACTGTCTGCTCGATCACTACTACCGGCTCTTTCGGAACTGTCACTTAGCAAAGAATCTTCACTTTTGGCGAAATCTCCTTGACGTATCACAGGGTTTGTATCGAGAGAGTCTGAAATATTGGTCAAATCACACAATGTTAGATCTTCCTGTTCGTCTTTGATATGGGAAGTGTTGTCTGGTGTAGGTGTGTCTATATCTATTTGGGAGTCGTGGCTCGTGTTGAGGGTGTACGGTGACTGAGAATTTGTAGAGCTAGGTAGGCCTACATCCTCTTTGGTGATGTCGATCGCCGCTACTGTCAAACTGGAATCAGAGAGTAAAGGCTCTAAAGTGGACGAGGAAGGTGTCGCTTCCTTCTTGTTAGAACTGTTACGTTTCAAAAAAGGTGAAAAGTGACCTTTATCTTTTGTCTTTTCTTTCTTATCCCCGTCATCTTTGGATTTGCGTTTGAAAAAGCTAAACATTACGCGTGACTTTGAATTTCGACAACAGACAACAAAGGACCGGACGAAAGACACCTGATGCTACTCGAAATACCGCGCGGTCGCGACTGCCTTCATCTATTTCTGCCTCTCCAGCGGCGGCTACGTGATCGCGGTGTGCGCTCTACGGACGTCGACAACGGACTGAGGAACCGTCTCTCCCCCGGTGACGTCAATGACGTCATACTTGTTGAACGTCGACCGTTAAATGAGTCAGCTGTTGTCTGACGTCTCTCTTCAGATTAGTACCTTTATTTATACGCTTTTCTGGAATGAGCAACTCGATCGCATATAACTGCTTTTAGTAGATACAGTCAACGGAATAGCATGTGTGTCGAGAAATTCCGAAATGAGTACAACAAATGAACATAATTCACGATTAGCAGAAAGCACCTCCAACCTTTTAAGCTTGAAAGGTCCGTGAGATTTGTGTTTTATTACAACTAACTGTGTAAGCTAGTGTACTAGCATTGACAGGTACTATGATCTACAGTGAGACAGCCTCATGCCAATTTATGCAGTTAGATTGTAAGGAAATGGATAAATATATAAGTTAAGAACCCACGTAGTTATTACCATGGGGTCTAACAATGAGTTGGAAAATTTTTTATCTGAATTTAACGTATTCTCTAAATGTTTCTCGACTCACTAAGCTCATTTACTAATACTATAGGCCTACTCCGTTCACAAAATTTAGGCAGTTTTAGGAGCAAAATCTATCACCATCACGTCTTGATCCTACCATTAAAACATAGCTCAAGAGCTGAGATTTTTCGAAACGTCAATCAGCTACAGCATACTTTGCCTTATGCATATTTGGAGGATCCTCTCTATAGTGTTCAGAGTCACCAGCGCTACGCCGCACCTCGCTCTCGCATCCAATGACCGTTGTGACAGTAGACAGTAATGCCAACTACTGGGACAGATGTTAACCATACAATGGTCTATATTTAGATCTCGCCAACTATGAGGTGCGCATTTGGACATTGGATGCGACGATTTTAACTTTACTAATTAGCCGATTACTTCATTCATAGTTTTATACATCTCATCCAAACCATGTTTTATTTCTGAGATGACCAATGCAACATAACTAATCATGTATAACTAATCATTAGCACCTAATTAAGTTTTTTTTTGTCACGAGACCTAGTTTAACGACCGTCATGAAGCCAAAGTTGGCTGATCAGTGAGGGCCGAGAAGACATCCCATTACATTAGACGCAACCGGGTGAAAAGTGCGAGGTTCTCACAACGTCCTACTCTACCTGTTTAATTCTTCTCATGATCATTGATGAAGGTGCCATTATTGTCTGTGTTTAATGACGAATGTTATTCAGTTCTGGCTTTTTCTTCGGTAATTTTTCTCCTAAGCTTTATGTAATCGGCCCACTTCACTTCGGCTCGTTTGCTGGAGTTGGACAATAAATCTGATTGACATACATGTTGTGTGTTTGATTCTTTTCTAATCTCTGGCTTGGCAGTGGATTACAATAGTTTTACCTTTTTATTCTAGTGATATTTTTTTATTGACCAGTTCTATAATCCAATTAACAACACGCCTCTCTTCAGGATTCAAGTAATAAATAAAGTTACTACGGGCGACACTATTCTTAACCCACAGATATTCCAATAACTAATAATTTCCAATAAATAATTTGTTCATACAATATTTAAATATGCAATTAAGCCTAATTAAACATCCCTCTAAAATAAATAGAACATTCCCCAATTTCACCTACTGTAGCACGTGTTACGGCTCAAGGCTCGAGTCCCTCGTATAACAATTAAAATCTGTCTTTTGTTAAACATGTTGAAATACTGAGATGGTATTCCTCTTAGTTTACCGGTTTGTTTATTTTGTTTTGAGTATTTTATACAGTATACTAATGAAATTTTTCCTACGTTTTGAAAGGGAACGGTCCAAACCCTGTAACTATCTAAAGTTAACCTTTTTGTTAGATAGCATCATTAATTCATAGCCCAATGACAAATGGTATTAGGGTCTGGAAACGAATCTCGCTTGGAATCGAACCAGCGACCTCCAAATTTGAAGGCGAGCACTATTACCACTCGGTTACCCAGACAGTTTTCTTGTTTATTTGCCACATTAAGTGGTTCCTAATGAAATGAAGAACCAGTAAAGAGAAGAGGAGCAGTCAGCGTGAGTGTGGCGAACCCAACACTAGAGTTGCTAGAGGCACATTTAGCCACGCCAAGGACGGGCCGACTGCCAGACATTTATAGCGGAAACTTGTGTACAATATGTTAAAGCTCACATAGCCTGATGGAACACATTCATATGATTGTCAACGGGTTATGTCAAATGGTCGTCCAATTGTCGAAAACTCGACCAAAAATATGTAATCTACAGACTTCTCTATTTTCACCCAGCGCTGTAAATAAAACAGGTGATTGGATCCTCCCTTCCATTCGTTTCGATTTTCTGTTTATAATTTGTTGCTATTTCGTCACCAGCATGGCAACCCATAAGGCTCATGGTAATTTAAATTAATTTTTTGTGATTATCTTTTAGCCTATTGTTATTTATAAATACCTCCACCGCAGCAAACCTACAGACTAAGCGAATTTCCATTTGCCTGATTGGATTTACACTAAAATGTCTCCTTAAAAATATCACATTTATTCCCTGTTTAAATAACATTAGTTTAACGAGTACTTAGGTTTGCTTCAACAGGGAGGGTAAAAAGGTGTTTTTTTTTTTGTAAAATGTTAATAGTTTAGTATGAAATGAATGCATTTTCCAAATTTGATCAAAATATGTTCATAAACAAGCAAACTACAGCAGTTTACTTATTCTCCATAAGAATAACATGGGAGTTTTAAATTTACAGATTTTTTGTATTTTCTCCGTAACTATTAGGCTAGGCGCATAATAACGCTTCAATATACAAAATTATTTGTTTTTAAGCTCTACAAAATTGTTTGTTAAGAAATTGCTAAATTTTAAGTTTTTAGGGTCAAAAATGTAAAAACCCCAATTTTTACCCCATAAAACCTCCCATAACCCCTGTTCCCATAGTCCGATCATGCTGGTTCGCGAACTCGTTCAAATAAACGTAGGATTACACGATTGTACCAAATTTCTTTAAAATTGGATGATTTTTGCTCGAGTTATCGTGCTAACGGACACGTATATAAATATATATATGAATTTGAACGGATGGCGTTTTTGGCCTCTAGGGACCTCAAAACGAAAAAGTAAATCGGTCCTGGGTCTAGGTCTTACCATGAGTACTACGGTAATAGCTTATTCCCTATAGGGGAAATTCGCTAAAAGGGATTTCGCACATCTAATCCTACAGGAAAATATCTTTATAGCAGTATGCGTAGATTTTCCCTGCGATGAACACGAGCTAAGAAAAATTGTTTTCAAGAAACATGCTTACCTATAAATATACAGATGCAGAATATTTATACCCAGTCAAAATGAAGTACTTACTACTCTACAATGATCTGACGTGGTCCTGAGTTGGTATCTTAAGAAATGTAGGAAAATGTAGGGGGGAACTCATTTAAAACTCACCCTGTATATAAGATATGACACTGATGTAATAGACCTTGCTCATTTTAAAATGCTAAACGCCAAAATGTATGATGAACTCCACAATACTTTTAATATAGTACAAGAGGGAATAAAGGGGATTGTCCATTTCATTGTATTCTTAGGTTTTCGTAGAGACAATTATGGGTTGGTAAATCTTATACTTTATTCTACGTGAAGTACCGATGCACTTTTCGTATGCTAGTACATTTCATCACATGGGCCTGAATTTACTCTTTTCGACACGAACTCAAGTTTGCTGACTGAGACGAAGGCTGGAAAGGTTTTTTTTTATTTTTACTCGTCTACAGTATTGCCTAGTTCTAGTTGAGCTACAGTTTTTGCCATTCTGCAATATTGTAAACAAACCAAATTACAAAACTGAATAATTGTTTTTGTGAACAACTTAACTCCCGAAATAACCTCCATTTATTTCCCAGCGTGGCAGTCATTCTGTTCCAAACAACAACTGCTAACTGAGATATTCAATCGTATTTAGACTCAGATGTCGTTTGTTATTTGACAATCAATAATTTAATTATGTTGTCAAATAAAAGATGGGCGTTAGATTCGTAGGTATACAAGTCCAGGGTTTGGACCATTCCCTTGCAATTGACGTAAAAAATGCCAATGACGCAAAAAAACACAAAATATAAAAACAATTCTTTGGTCTGTCATTATTTTGTTAGGTACTGTACACTAGACTGACAATGATAAAAGATATTTCCAACAATTTGAATTGTTGAGTACGAAATGGATTTGGGTTGGGTTAGTACCTCGTGGTTAGGATAATTAATAAATGAGTATTCATCCAAAGCAAGTTAAATACTATAAAATATATGAATTTATCTTATAATTATAAAGGAGGATGTTGTTTTGTATATAATGTTTGGTAGTGATAAACTCAGACACCAAGGAGCCGTTGACCATGAAATAAAGGTTTAAACATCATCAATTTCGTGATAACTTTCAGGGTTTCACCCTGGGACCGTCTTAAAGGTATTCATGTCAAGGATTTTGAAAGAATTTTAGTCAGTTTTGTCATTGATGACAAAAAGAATTAAATACACTTTTGTCTACGGTTTGTTTTCTAAAAAACGTATAAAATTAAAATTTAAAACAGGCAATGTAAATTAATGGTATGTTTCGTCCTGCCATTTTAATTGTATTTGTTTGTATGAATATTTGTTTCTTGGTGTCATCCATATACTGTATAAATCCCAAAGTACCCATGCACTTTTGAGAAAACTACAAGTTACACCCCTATAAACCATATACTTAAATAATTCCTTTCTAAGAATTTTAAAGAATTTTCATAGTCAGGAATTAGGTACATTTTCTACAAAACACTCTTATGCGTTTTCCAAAAATCGCACTCTTTCACCTTCAAAAATCGCCCTTCTTCTAAAATGTATAAAGTTTCTCGGATTAAGTACGGTGTTTTTATTGAAAAAGCATGCAAGCTGTCACACCTTTGAAAATGCTAGTTCAAAAGGGGGCGAACAATTCAAATTTTGAACTGCCATAACTTTTGATAGGATTGACGAGATCTCTAGTTCGCACAATTCTTTTTCTTTTTTCATAC